TTATCATAAACATTTTTCGATGCACTGCTGGATAAACGCAACTATGAAGGACTGAAGGCGTTGTGCAGACAATACAACATCATTTCCAATGACGGCAAATATAAAGCCCTAAGTTGTCTGATTCGCAGCAAGCCCCTTCCAGATTCAGACAGCCGTTAGAAGAGATGGGATGAGTCAACCACTTCGAAGAGCTCCTAAACAGGCGCTCGATCCAATCAATGACTTGGAAATAGAGTTCGAAAACGAGGAAGAACTGGAATTTGACTGCTCTGTTCCACCGAAAAATGAAATCCTAGATGCCTTGTATCTCTGTCGAAGTTCGAAATCCTGTGCACATGACAGGATTAGTGCTGAAATTCTGAAGTATCCACGTGAAACCCTACATAAATGAATCCATCAGGTTTCTTACAGCCTCTTGCGGAAGTCGGAAATCCCTGAGAACTGTAAAAAGGGCGTAATTATTCCTATATTCAAACGTGGGAATCATTCTGATTGCTCCAACTACATCAAGATCACGCTTCTATAAGTGCTGGCAAAGGTGTTCACTTGAATCCTCCTCCGAAAACTGAAGAACGCAGTTGCAATTCGCCTCTATCAAATCAAACAGCGCTTCCAGCTGGACTCTGATGTGCGGATAACGTCACCGTACTAAAGAAGATAATCCGGTTGGGAAAGAGCTTCCACCTACCCTGGCATGCAGCATTCCTCGACTTCAGAGCAGATTTCGGTTCGGTGCACGGCCAGTCTTTGTTGCGCGTACCGTGACACTATGGAGTACTGCAGACGATCATCGGTCTGCTGAAAGGACTGTATGAATGTACGAAAGAGCTATCAGAGCAAAAAAGTCGTTATCGGGCTGATTTAGCATTAACAGTGGAGTACACCAAAGAGAGGTGCCTCATTCTTTGTTATTAAACATGGTGGTCGATTATGTGATGGGGAGGAGCGTCGTCCCCAACAACAGCGATTGATTTATTATCAGACGATGACTCAGCCGAAGTTACCCAGCAGTACTTATAACAGATATCGAGTACGCTGTGAACACTGTACTACTCAGCGACCCCGCTAATAACTTACTGACACTAAGTTGACAAGTGTGCATGGTGGCTTCGACAGTAAGCCCATACGTTGACCCTACTAGAACAAAGATCTTGAGTGTCCCGACTCGACTAATGGCCCAAAGATTCAATAGAGTAGAACCACCATCGAGCAGGTCGAAAAATTCAAGTATCTCGGCTCTGTACTGGCAAGAGACAGAAGCTGCTATTTGGAAGTAGAACGGTGCTTAGGCGTGGCATCTGTGAACTTTGGGCAACTTTCTAAAGTATGGCAAGACCGATCAGGACAACAGCAAAGATTACCATTCTGAAAGTCCGTCTTCTCAATGCTGATATACAGCCTTGAAACATCAACCTTTTTAAGGCGCTATTAAAAGACGTTAGGCACTTTTCAGCAGCGCTGCCTGCGTAACATACTGGAAATGCGATAGTTCCATCGAATGAAGAATGTCGAGATTTTGGAAACGATCGGCGTGAGATGTTAGATGTTACCTGACGAAATCAGTTACTGGCGTCTGTCGTGGTTTGACATGACCATCTGGAGAGAGAATGGAGTCTTATTCAAAACATTCTCTTTTGGGAAGCAGGGGATAGTCGTAGGTGCGTCGAAGGTCAACATCGTGCTCTAAAGCAGCTGCTAGAGGCAGACTCGCTTGCGACGAAAAACATGACCCTTGTCACAGCAATCAACGTAGCCTAAATCATTCTGAATAGACA